ATGGTAGTGGTGGTGGCGAGCCAATGGTGCTGATGGTGGAAAATGCCGGCTCATAGTGGCGAGGCAAAACGTGTTTGGTGGATAGCTTGGTGAGCAAGGTGGATGACGGTGGCATGATGGAAAGCACATGAGAGTATGTGAAATCACTTATTTGTAGTGTTTCATTCTTGAATGCGCCGAGATACCTATTTACGGTCAAAAAAAAAAAACCAACGCTGCTTTATATGCTTTCTAGTATGTTTCTTTTTTATTCTTGTGGTGTCAACAACGATTCAATCTTTGTGGAGCATAGCATATACGTCCGGGAACATGTTCACATTTCGCGCACGCACTCACATCAGTTTGACATCCGCGATGTGTTTCTTTGTTGTGATGTTTAGAAGACTAGGGTTGTCACTGTGAACATGACAATAAATGTTTCACATCGGCGTGCAGTTGTCGAACAAATAAATGAGCTCCAGTTCGCAATTGTCCTTTTCAATGTTAGAGTAGAACACTGCGGTCACTTGATGTCGCCACGCTAGAAACGCAACTCTGGCACACTCTATTGTTTGAGCTGTACCTTTAAGTTAACAAAGTGCATTTGAGCTGTACATTTAAGTTAACAAAGTGCGTGCGAATATGCATAAACTTTCACTTTCGACATGCGTCAAGGTGAGCCCTAGCGAATTTGACTTTCACCATTCTGTACTACCACTATGATTTCCACCAAAGGTTAGTCAAACCGACTTAGACCGTACAAGTGTTATCGGCGCTTCTGGGTTTCAAAATACACAATTTTGACGAGTAAAAAATGACAATACAGCACAGGTGCGGCTTCATTTACCCTAAATGAAGCCTTTTTTAATGTGTACGGTGCCGCCCAAGAAGCGACAAACATCGATGCGACGCGCTTGCAGCAATTCCACCAAAGGTACGCCTCGCCTCACCGAGAGCCGCCGGTCGCACTCACCGGGCGCCTCGCTGGCTCTTACGTGAGAACATAGACACGTCCATTCGTATGCTTACTGAACCAATATTATAGCATAATGTTCCTTGATTGATTGATTTGTGGGGTATAACGTCCCAAAACCACCATTTGATTATGAGAGACGCCGTAGTGGAGGGCTCCGGAAATTTCGACCACCTGAGGTTCTTTAGCGTGCACCCAAATCTGAGTACGCGGGCCTACAACATTTCCGCCTCCATCGGAAATGCAGCCGCCGCAGCCGGGAATCGAACCCGCGACCTGCGGGTCAGCAGCCGAGTACCTTAGCCACTAGACCACCGCGGCGGGGCAGCATAATGTTCCTGGCGCACTGCATTCGTTTTGGACAAGCCGTTATGTAGCTGTTCCTAGCGACAGGCCCCGCCGTGGTGGTCTAGTGGCTAAGGTACTCGGCTGCTGACCCGCAGGTCGCGGGTTCAAAATCCCAGCTGCGGCGGCTGCATTTCCGATGGAGGCGGAAATGTTGTAGGCCCCTGTACTCAGATTTGGGTGCACGTTAAAGAACCCCGGGTGGTCGAAATTTCCGGAGCCTGCCACTACGGCGTCTCTCATAATCATATGATGGTTTTGGGACGTTAAACCCCACAAAGCTAATCTATCTAGCGACAGAGCAACAGCGGTGCGCTGGCACGACTGCGGTGTGCGTTGCGGGAAAAACATCAAGATAAATTTTGTGGGCGTATCCATCGAATGAGCATAGAAGCGTCATAAAGCCTGAACTGATATCGCCCTTTGAAAGGAGTGAGAAACGGATAATAAACTTGGAAGTAACCGCGGATAAACTCTACCTGCTCCTCAGTCCACTGAGTTGGTTTTTTTTTTACTTGCGGTTGTAAATTGTTATAAAAACATAGCGCTGTTGCCATTATCGCCGTGGCAATCGTTACAGGCAGCAGTTGTTCGTGTTTATCAAATGTGCAAATTTTAGTAGCAGGTGCAGATCCCGTCCCTCCCAAGTAAACGACAAACAGAACTGAAGTTGAACAGTGACTTTGTGAGTTGACTACTCCTTTACCACACGTATCGCTGGCGTGGTTCAGGGGTTGGTTTACTCAGTTCGAAAATCGGAGTTGCCAGGTCCGATTCCCCGCTGGCGCACCTTTTTTTTACGGTGGTCGATACATTCTTTTTTATACATTTATTTTTATTAGTTCTTTAGCGGCAGCTCGTCATGGTGGTTCTGACGCTGCTTCGCGCTCCAGCATTGCCGGCTGGAGCACGCCATCCACCATCCGCTCCATCATACGCCACCATACACCATGTGCCACCATATCCACCGCCATATTCCACCAATATGATGGATGGTGGAATCCACCATTACTATGGTGGACGATTTTTTTTTCAATAGAGCTATTACTTTTCTTTCCCTCACTCGCTGCGTCGTCTCCAATGTAAACTAAACCCTCTTGGTAAGCCTTCAAGTTTCTGCTCCGTAGCTAAATACCGGCAAGGTGCAGCTGTTATATGCCTTCTTCTTGAGGGATAGTGGTGATCTACAAGTTATGATTTCAGAATGTTTACCGAATGCGCTCCATACGAGTTTTATTCTTCTAGCTACTTCAATATATTGCTCCTGCTCCGCGTGTACTTCCCGCTCTAAGTAGATGTACTCTTTTGCAACTTCAAGCGCACTCCTACCTATCTCAAAGCACGGTTCTTTTCCGAGATTGTCATACAGTAGCTTAGTTTTCTGCACATTATTTTAAAACCAACCATTCTGCTCTCTTTGTCTAATTCTGTAATTATGAATTGCAATTCCTCCCCTGAGTAACCCAGCCACTCCATTTAATCGGCGATACGCAGGTTGCTAAGGTATTCTCCATTAAATTGTATCCCTAACTCTTCCCACTATTTACCTCTGAAAACCTTCTGCAAGCACGCGGTAAATAGCATAAGCGAGATTGTATGCACGTGTCTCACATTTTTTCTTTATCCGTAATCTGCCGCTTTCATTATGTAACACCATGGTGGCAGTTGGTCCTCTGTAGACTTCTTCCATGATGCTTATGTATGCTTCGTCGACGTCGCATGTTTCTTATATTGCCCTCAAGCAAGTCACCTTGGCACATTTAGATGACCGATACAGCGACTCTGTGCACATTTACACCGATGGATCCGTAACTTCATCCGCCTCAGCTGCAGCCTTCGTGATCCCTCAACTCGGTATTTCCCGACAGTACAAATTAGATCATAGGTCATCTTCGACAGCTGCAGAACTTGTTGCTATACAAGAAGCCATAAAATTTGTGAACGACCAAGCACCGCGTAAATGGACGATTCTGTCTGATTCAAAATCAGCGCTTCAAGCTATCCTTTCTTGCTTAAGAAGAGGCCAATTTTACGAGTTAACGTTAGGAATCGTCCAAGCATTTGACCTAACACACAGGGGCGGTCACTTGATGACACTCCAATGGATTCCTGGACACTGCGGCCTGGTTGGCAACGAAACAGCCGATAGCGAAGCAAGAGCGGCAATATACAACGCTCCTATGTACGTCAAAGTATCCTACTCGCGAGGTGACGTCAACACATTGTTGAGATCACTCATGCGCGAATGCGCTGCCACTTACTGGTTGCTACCAGATCACCGAAACAAGCGCCTGCGGGAAACGGACCCCAGTATGACTTTTCGTCTTCCAGATAAAATCAGCCGAAGACATGCTACTATACTGCACCGAATTCGCCTGGGCGTCGCCTTCACTCGTCACTACACCCACCTAATCAGCCGTGCGGGCAGCCCAAATTGTGAACGCTGCCAAGCGCGCGAAACGATAGCTCACATATTTTGTGACTGCATTATACGTGGCACAAAGAGAAATGCTAACTGCAACGTTGGCAAGCATTGGACGAACACCATTAAGTGAAAGCCACATATTGTCAGCAATGAACGACCAAACAGTGTCAAAAACTGCTACAAAGGCTGTTATAGACTTTATAAAAAGCACTGGACTAGAAAATAGACTGTAGGGTACTATAATAAATGGCTACTTTACATACGCACCACCTCTTCTTGCCCCCATCATCACCCTTCATCCCTCTTTATTTCCCCTTTCCCTTATCCCCGGTAAAGAGTAGCAGGCTAGAGCGAACCTAGCTCAGGCCGACCTCTCTGCCTTCTAATAAATTCTCACTCACACTCGTCGACGCCGTGATTCCGCAGTGTCTGCATCCCTGCTGATATCTCTTTTGAATCAAATGCCTTCTCGTAATCTACGAAGTCTAAGTATAGTAGTTGAGTGTATTCTGAGCGTTTCTTATCACCTGATTGATAGTACCAACGTCGCCAATTGTGGAGTAGCCTGTTCAGAATTCTGCTTCATCCTTCAGTCGATTCAATTGTAATGTGTCTGAATTTTGTTAGAAATTACCTTTGTACTTAGCTTGTGTAGGACGAGCAAGCTGATCGGCCTGTAATTGTCCAAGTGCTTGTCGTTCGCTTTCATATAGATCAATATGACGTTAGCATCCTTCTAAGACTAGGATACCTTCACCGTCAGAAGACACTTCGTACAAAGAGTGGCTAGCTTTGTAATACAATCTGGCCTCTGTCTTCCAGCAGATTTGATGCTACCTGATCTCCCACCAGCAGCTTTGCCTATTTGCATTCGCTCCAGGGCTTTCCTGACTTGTCCTTTCATTATTGGTGAAATGACATCTGAGTTACTGCTAGCTCTTACATTAAGGTAACGATTGTCCCGGCTACTGTACATATCTTTGTAAAACTCCTCCACTACTTTAACTATCCTAGTCATATTGGTAGTTGCTTTGCCTTCCTTTTTTCCTTAGTGCATGCAGGGTTCATAATAACCAATCCATACCTTTAGAAAAACTATATAATTACTTTATCATAGTGAATTCACGCTTGGCTGTACATTTTCTAGGCTCTTAAATGTTACTCAAATATACGCCCACTGAACATTTTCGTGTCAGTACCCCTTTATGGCGCGAGGATAGCGTGGCGGTGCGATGCAGCTTCAACCTCGTAAAGCACCAAGGTGTCACTAATACTCACCAAAGCGATGTCACTGTCGACGGTGACCAGCCGGTAGTTTGGGTGTATGCGGATGTCGCGAACGTCAGTCACCAGCTCTTCGGCCTCCACTTGGTCGACGTAAAGCTTGCCGAGTGCCACCTCTATTTGAGCTGTTCGCGTGCGCAGGTTCTCGACGCAGTGGGCCGCCGTCAGTACATATCGTTCGCTCACCAGGCTGCCACTGCAGAAGGCGTCGCCGCTGCGATAGCGCAGAAGAGCCTGCACGCATGACACGACTCTTTTCAGATAATGCACTTGGAAGGGCTTTATACATGGCACTACACGCTTAGCTGCCGTAAAGTGTACCCACACGTGATTGGGGCTTTAGCTCAAATACCCACAACAGTTATGATGCACTGTCACATTTACTCAAGACTCCAATACATTTTAGAACAGGAACATCATTAAATACAGAAGCAGGCGCGTGTATTGATGTCATGAGAAGCGCCATGAATCGCTTAGTTGCGCGAGCTCTATGCGTGCGAGCCTGTTGACCTTAGTCGACATTGTGCGATATTGAAATGAATCCTTCAAACAGGTATCCCTCTCCTGCTCGCCTTCACCTCATATTCCCGGACATGTACACAGCCCCCTATTGCCAGTGCTGTGGCACTCACCAGACTACGCTTCCACATTTTCTGTGAAAGCGTCTGGTATAGTACAGACAGACTAACACCACGACCCTTTCCTCTAAGCTTCACGAGGCTCTGCGGAGTCCCGCTCTCGGCGACCAAACCTAGGCGACTCAGCACGCCCGTGAGAAGGCGTCGAGGCAAGCCCAGGACGTACCCTCGTGGGAGGCCTAGGCCCGGCCACCTCAAACCTGCTGGTTTCCGACAATAAGCTTTATTTCTCTCCATTCTCCTCCTCCTTCTCCTTATATTGCATGGTCTCTACAAATAACACTGTTCAGTAAACGGCGACAATAGACAAAGGCTTGGTTTGGGCGAGTAAATTCATCGCAATAATACCACACTTACAGCGCGGCAACGGTAGGCAGGAACGATATGTATAGGAAAGAGTGCGCTTTCCTGCCCACGTTGTTTTTTTCCTACTGTTGTCGTGCTGTAACTACGACGAAACTACAATTATCGGCAAACCTCGATCACGCCCTGTTAATACAGTTATGTCGCATTCATCAATGACTGCAAGCATGCTGGATACAACAATAACCAATCAATCTCACGTGATGGAGAGACAACTAGGGAAACTGATAACTAGGCACACGCTTTCGGCATACAATACATGCCGCAGGTATTGTGACAAGAAATAAGGGCGGGGGGGGGGGCTCATTAAAACGTCTAAGTGTTCCGAAATGTGCAAATGTACATACAGTTACTTGGATGAGAGCTTCAAAGCATGTACGCGATTTGAGGATGACGTAATGAATTGTAATCAGTAGTAGCCAAATTGTGTCATTATAAAACTAGTAACAAAATGCGCTGAATGAGGCCTGAAACCAAATTTATTTTTTCTGTGTAACTTAGGCATTTACTGAGTGTTTTGATTATTTGAGAAAATTTTATTCTTATTAATTAGTGTTGGTAATGCACCCCTCTTATCAAAATTTAGGGGGTGGGGAGGCTGCGCTCATTGTTGCCGTACGAGGACGCACGCTCACAAACTGGTAACAGAGGTACGTAGTGCGATAAATCGCGTAAAACAAACAAAAAAAATTAGATGGGAGACTTATTTACCCAGGATGATGCAATTTTCACGAAAGAAAACTGTTGAAACACCTCGAAATCTGTGCTCTTGAACTGTGGCTTCAGTTACCGTGCAAGCACTCGTCTACGAGGGAACCGGGCGTGAAAGTGACGTAGTCAAATGCCAGCAAAGCAGTAAAGATTGCAATCATCTCAGGGGTCCATCTCTCAGAGAACCAACCATGAGACTTGGAAATTTCCGTGGCAGTGATCACGCTCGAGGCTGACTGGCATCACCTAAAAGTGCTATTCTCTTTCATGTTTTAAAACACCGCTATAGCATTTGCGCAACGGTATTACTACGGTTTAGTAGTACTCACACTGCTGTACGCGCGTGCACTTTTCTAACTTTTTATATGATTTTTTAGATGGTGCTTTGTTTGTGAAACCTGCAGACGCACTCACGAGAAAACGTGCCGTTCAAACAATGTCTTCTTTACAGCGGAAGCTGTTACTAAATCACAACTTCGGTCACGCGCGGCGCCGTAGTTGTCCGCCACTGCCGCCGCCGCCGGTGTTCGTAACGACTATCGCATAATATAAAAAAACGTAGTGCCAAGGACACAGAGAGGCTTGAACCTGGGTCCGCTGCGTTCCAATCCAGTATTCTACAACGGAGTGACGCCGGCACTGGGGGGTGTTTTCGGAAACTTGCATAAGGCAGGCTTAATGTCGCGAAAGGATTGCGTTAATACGAGTAATAAAGCGTTTTATAACAGGCAAAATGCAAACAGGTGTCGCACAATGCGAATAGAGTAACGAGTGGGTCATCCAGTGCTCCAACCCGTTACAAAAGCTTGCTCTTGATCAACTGTTACCTGTGGCGCATATCCACTTCAGGCATAAGTACTCGCATTATTTATATGTGGGGTGTAACGTTCGAAAGTCACCACATGATTATGAGATACGCCGTAGTGGAGGGCTCCGAAAATTTTGACCACCTGCGCTTCTTTACCGTGCGCATTATTCCTCATCGTCGTCAACGACTGCATGAACAATCGGCAGAAAATTCCTTGCAAGTGTTTAGCGAATACCACGCTTCCCAGACTAATAATGAAGGATAGCATAGCGAATGCCAGCCTACTACCCAGACATTATTATTATTATATATTATTATTATTATTATTATTATTATTATTATTATTATTATTATTATTATTATTATTATTATTATTATTATTATTATTATTATTATTATTATTATTGTTGTTGTAGTTGGTACCCAGCATGTGTGTTTGCAGCAGTTACCCAATGAGTGTTTAAAGACGGCTCTGAAAGGCCACTCTTCTAGCTTTTGGTGTGACGCTCTCGGAAAACGCTCTGTGGTGCGTTTTCCGTGCAGGCCTGCTATTTTTTATTGACTATCTGTGTATTGCAGTATGTTGTTTTGTAAGCACCAATTGCCTCGGGTTAGAATCTGCACAATATTGTAATGTTCACAGAAAATTCTTGAAATGGAAGACGAAACACGAATTCAAAGCAAGGGCAAGTTCTCTGTATTGCACGCAGCAAACTGAGAAAGGCACACATGCGAGCGAAACTTTCGCACTGAACATCGCGTCACACCAAAGTTTCAAAACGTCAACATTTGTAAATGAAAAGTTCACGATAATTGACAGTTATGAATAGCATCACGCCAAGAGTTTGAGAACGCCTAATAAAACCGTACCGTCGACATCTTTTTACAAAGCCTGGTTAGCCGTGACATTGAAAATAATCGAGTGCAGAGGCGTATATTTCTTGCAGAATGTGCGAACAATTTATGACTTGGATGTGGTGAGGTGATTGTCGTTGTTTTAAACCACGAAAGTTTTTGAGCACCGCGGAGCGATGAGGGTAATTGTTTACGTGAAGTGCACGGTGTATTTGACTTACGCAAGAAAAGTCTGTCACGGACAAGTGAACACTGCTCCCTCTTAAAGTCAGGTACGATTGCATTTACCATACTTCGCCTCTAAAAGTTTAACGTGATAGCGATATCTTGTCCCTAGTGCGTACTTGAAACTTAGCGCATGAAACCGTTTGAAACTTGCTATGCACTCGCTACGTGTCCTTAGGAGAATATATGCAGTGACGAGTCGGCGTTGTGTATTAGGTGACCGGCTTCAAACAATTAAGTCATTGGGGTAATCACATGTTCTGATGCTCGATAGCTTTGTGCGCTTGAACCACGCATTATCACTGCAATATTTCATGTTGTATTCGGAAGCATCTAAAGAGGACTCGTGTTTCTAAATTAAGGAAGTTACTTTCACTGCATTTCCAAGCAGAGAAAGATATTGTCAATGTATTCACAAGCAGATGCGTGGAGTGGCTTGGACTTCTGGACGCGTGTGTTTGTAGAAAATAATTTTGAAGATTTGCTGGACTGAGTCAAAATGTGTCTTCCGCACGTGTGCATGCAAGCATAACTTTGAAACGATGAATCGTATAGGATGTGAAAATAATTGATGACACTACTTTCATGCTTTAAAAAAGAATCAGACGCGTGGCTGTATGGTAGAACACCATCTTTGCAAACAGACGATCCGGGAGTGTTCTTCACTCAAACCCAGAGCTTTTAGTTATATGCGTCTTTCTCGATACTTAGGTCACGCACAAGATAATAATTTTTTGCTCACAAACAACGACGCGGACACTGACATCGACGCGGGAACATCTGCGAAAGGAGCTCTTTAACGCTATTGCGTAAAAAGATCGTTATTTTCAACGCCATGACAACTGTTTGTTTTTGAACGCCGCTCCTGTTCGGCGCTTATAGAGCTATTTCCCATCAATTTCAGCGGTAGTAGGGTATTAGTAATAGTGCTCGTCTATTGACTCGAATATTGTGAGGCGGTCACATATCGGTGGAGGCGAAAGGCCAGAGGCGCGTGTACTGCGCAGGGTTGGGCTTCAGTCTTTCGGAGCAGCTTTGAGAGCAAGTATAATGCAGTTCTGCAGCAGCTTTGGAGCACCAAAATGTGTCTTTTGGAGCATCAAAATTTTGTTTAGAGCAGATTTCTCGAGTCGCACATTCCCGTTATTTAAAATTCGTTCTTTCTGGTAAACACAAAAAACTCAGTGGTTTTTACTGAGCATGCTATGCTTATAAAGCGACCAGGCTTACCCCATATTGTCATATATTAAACCTTACAACATCAAAGGTGAAAGCACCGCAACTCAAAGAAAAAAAAAACATAAATGGTGCTCTGGAGACCTAGCCTCAGATGAATGAAGAAAAAATAATTGTTAAAATGTTTCAACGTTCAAAATATGATCAATACATCGCATTCAACATGCACACCAACTCATGACCAGAGGTGATCTAATACAATATAAGTTATCTTCATATTAAAGCAAAACGGCTCTAAAACTAAATTTTTAAAAATTGGCAGATCCCACGTACAGTGGGAATCGATGATATGCGAAGCACGCATGAGAAAGCTTGATATGTCACTTTAAAAACAGCACAATGATACGAGGTGGAGGTAAATGATGCCTTACCTGACGTACGTGTCATGAATATCATGT